AGGACATTTATCATCTAAAAGATCGACGTAGCAAGGCAAACGACGCGGAGAAGAACCGGGCAGCGCTAAGCAGCGACTTGCAAGAGCATGTTGTGGCCCTGTGACATTTCAATGGATGTATGATCTGGCTGCAACTCAACAGGAGACATCGGCCAGGGCAAAGACAGCGCGTCCTGCGTCAGCCGTCAGCCCACGCAAAGGACAGCCAGTCATTCGGTTTAAACGCAAGGCCAACGTCAGGGTCGACGGTCGTCCTGGTTTTCTTAAGGCGCGGTTCCTTAAGTCAATCTGAGAAATAAACTATATTAATTAGTCGTTAAGTAATATCTGTAATTTCTTTTTGCATGGTAATTGCTGATAAGCCCTGACAGGCAGCCAAGGGCAAGTGGAATCTTAACAAGAAATATGTCCGGCGGGTCGAGGACACCATCAAGAGGGCTCAAAGAAGAGGACAAGGGTCCTCGATTCCGGCGTCGAGATTCAGCGGGGTGGCCATCGGGTGCCTGAAGGATGTGTCGCAGGAACGACTGAGCAAGATCGCTCCGGAAGCGATGTCAGCCCTGCAGTCAGCCGCAGAGGCCAGGACTAGCTATTACAATCTTGGGAGTGTCAGAGAAGAATAATTACTATCATTACTTTAGCATCCTGATTGTCCTGTCGTAACGTATGTTGTTGTTGTCCTGTCGTAATGTATGTTGTTGTTGTTGTTGTTGGTGGTGGTGGTGGTGGTGGTGGTGGTGGTTGTTGTTGGTTGTGCTTGGTTGCGGTTGTGGTTGTGGTTGTGGTTGTGGTTGTGGTTGTGGTTGTTGATGTTGTTGCTGTTGTTGTTGTTGGTTGTTGTTGGCTGCGGTTGTGGTTGTGGTTGTGGTTGTGGTTGTGGTTGTGGTGGTTGTGGTTGTGGTTGTGGTTGTGGTTGTGGTTGTGGTTGTGGTGGTTGTGGTTGTGGTTGTGGTTGTGGTTGTGGTTGTGGTTGTGGTTGTTGTTGTTGTTGTTGTTGGTTGTTGGTTGTTGGTTGTTGGTGTTGGTGTTGTGTAAGTCCCTGCCCGCAGGCCATGGCTGTGGATATGCTGTCTGCCGTCCAAGGCTTGGCGTCCCCCTGCCCTGCATTGTTCTACAGTTGTAAGTCAGTTATAAACTAATGTGGCATTGGAATAGGATTTTCGTATGTTTCTGTATCGTTCCTTAACCTGTGTTCCTGCTGTCTGTCTGAACTCACAGGCTTGGCTAATCACCGCAAGAAGATCACGCCGACTGAAGATGACTTCGCGGCACTCAGCATCGCTGCGGAGTTTTTGAATCCTACTCTGCAGCAGGTCATGGTCCAGCGTCTCGACAACAAGAGGCGGCTGACCCTAGCAAATCCCAAAGACCCACAGCGCTTTCACAAGAAACTGAAGCTGTGAATAGTCAGTGTCGGAACAATCGCCTGCAGAGCAGCCGGGACCAGTTTCATTTTGTCAGTCTTGTCAGCGTCGGTCAGTGAGACTGCCAGCTCAGCTACCCAGCTGTGTTTTAGCATCATGATGTCGTGCCCAGGCCGCATGGGACCAGTGCGAAACCAGAATTAAAAAAGGCTTCAGAACGTTTGGTTGCCAAGGAATGTGCCAGGACAAGTCTGAGTCTGACAGTCTGATGGGCCTGCGAGGCTAGCTCGCCGCAGTCCGTTCCGTACCGATGAATGGGCCAGGGGAGGCATGAAAAAGTGAACCTGTCTGGCTGTGGTTTGACAGTTTGATTGACACGTGCCATCCTCTAAAATTTGTTTGGCCGGCCGAGGTTCAGGGGATGCCAATCTGCTGCGGGATTCTCAAACAGGCCAGATGTGTTTCGCGTGCTGTAGTTAGTTCTGCCTACTGCCTGCAGTCAGACAGACAGGCAGACAGTCAGACATGACATGTGGCATTGCCGATTGCCAAATGCTTCTGTGTCTGCGTCTTTGTCGTTCAAGCTTGGTCAGTGTCACCTGACGTCAGCAAACGTCAGCCACCCGCGACCTGCCTTCCTAAGTCGACAGTCATGGCTGCTGAGTCAGACGCCGGTCGATCCATGGAGCTCTTTGCCATGGGGTTGCGCTCCGATGGCTACACACCGGAGATCTACGAGGTGGAGTTCTACGAGACTTTGGAGACAGCCGTCGCGATGGGAAAGAGGACAGCCAGCCGTCAGTCACTTCGTTACAGATTGCGTGCAATGCACGAGTTAACTAATGATATTGTAAGTTTTTCGCCTGCTGTCATACTAGTATTTAATTTCACAAATATATAGTTCAAGGTTGGGCTACCGGCTGTCGGATGGCGCGCCCCCGAAGGGCCTGCCCACACGGCGGTCTGGGCTGGATGCGGCCAAGACTTTGATTAAGAGTGGCGAGATCAAGATAATCAGCGTCTGTGTCCAGCACTACCAGTCCGCTCTCGAGTCGGGCCTGCTCAAGAAGAACAGCGTCGGCCCCGGCTACCCAGTGTCACACACGTTTCAGCGTCATCCGGGCAAGCCGCTGAATCTGATGTCGACGCAGGGCAAGCACGCAGAGATCCACTTGTCTGACATGAAAGTGGCGGTGTCAGTGATGCAGGCCCCGGCGTCGCCACCGTCGGAGTCGATGGAGGACACAGGCGCGCACCAAGCATTTTATTTAAGAGTAGCTTCAACATCCTTACAGATTACAGAGATATAATGTATATTGGTAAACTTGAGCCGTTCCATTGGGTTTTGTTTTCTGCTACATACTGAAATGCTGTGTCTGTTTAGGGATGAGCTTATTTAGTTGTTACACTTTTTGTTTCAAGTTTTATTTCAGTCGTTCGTCGCGAACATGCAGGTGCAGAAGTTGTGGCTGTGTCAGGGTCACCCCATCGCCTGGTCTTCTACGGCTACAGCGTCAACGACTCCAGCCGGCGCATCAACGACGCCCTCTTCAAGAACATGACGAAGAGCATCCCCGGACTCACGGACTGCGCGTCGGAGCACATGGTGCTCTTCTCTGACATTGCGTCGGCGCCCCTGCTGTCGTTCTGCGTCTCCGGTGGCGACAACAGGGAGTGGCTTGCCCCATGTGATGGGATTCTGTAATAACTCCGTGCCTTTACTTAGGTGATTAGTCACAGTCGTTTTGAGCCATGTGGATGTGACCCTGGACCCTGATTTTGCATGACATTCCGGAGGATGGTGCTGGACAAGTATGTCGCGGAGGAGCTGCCAGCCCGCTTCAAGCACATACCAGCGTCAGCGTCGCCAATCTCCGGCTTCTGGGCTGTGAAGGTCGGCTCCGACAACCTGACGTCGGCAGGAGTCCAGCTGTCGGGCAGATTGTCGACGATGGTCAGGGTCGACGTCATCACCAAGCAGAGTCGCCAGACCACAAATGACATCGCCAGGGAGAGGCAGATGGAGCAGGCCAGCGGCGATGAATAGAGT